TTAGGCATATGTGCTTACATCTTTCCATTCGAAGCTCGATTCTCCAGCTTGGACTCCTCCGAGTCATCGAGTGCAACCGTGTTCTCGGCAGAGAAAGAATCATTCAAGAGAATAATTTCAATTCAATTTGACTCAGTCAGTTCATTATCTCCAGCTCGTGTGCTGCTCATCGCCTTGAATTGAAGGTCTGCGGGATTAGCGTGGATTCCGCGGATCTCTTCTCTAGTCTCGCCGCTCCTTGTCTCGAGAGCCCGACCAAGTATATTCCGGCTTCCGCAGCAGCCTGCGAGAAAATGACAAGCGAGCTCATGCCCTTGGATGAGGAACTCACCTATCTCACTCTTCATGTGTTCCAACGGCTACGGTCTCAATGAGCGAGATTCCGTCATTGAGATACACTGGAACCGCCCAGCATGGATCAGGCTCCTCAACCCTCGTATGAGGCTTGGATTGCGATACCCTCTCCCCCTCTGGGGATGTCTCAGCTTAAGCTCAGCTCTCACTCCTTGAATTTCGGAAGCGGCTCTCCCCGCAGGTCAGACGTATAGACGTTGTGACGCCGCTCCCGATCTGTTGAGCAGAATACCGATGTCTCTAACTTTCGATAGATCGAGGTGATCTGCGGAACGTTCACTCGTGTCTGCTTAAGTCAGAAATGGCGGAGCTAGAATTTTGTCACTCGATGGAGTCCAGTACTGGCCGAGTCAGGGAATCGAGGAGAAGTCTTCACTCATTCGCTCAGTGTGCTCTGGAGTCAAATGTGCGAGATATCGGGGCAGTGGCGGTATGTATCACTGCCGAGGAAATTCTCTAAGCTGCAGGATCCTCGAAGGGTCCGATGCCCTGTCACGGGGCTTCCCCGTGGGATCAACTCGCGAACCTTACTGACGATGGCCCCATTCGTTTCAAACGTGATCGTGTTGGATGTGACAGGGAATCATTGACATTTTCTATTGAGGAATGTTTAATGCGCATGCTCGTGATGATGGTTTCCATCATCTCTTCGCCCCCTATGTGAGCTGACCGTGTACTGCGCCCTCGAAGACGGCAATGGTCAGGATGAGGCACTGGGAGGGGAAGAAACCGTGAGCTCTGATTGGACGGAGTTCCACGGGATTTCGGATATCCAAGAACTGAATTCGGATTTTTACTGTTCATTGCGAGTGGGGAGTTCGCTCCTGATCATTTTCGGAGTGCCCGGACCAAGTGGTAGCTCAGGCCCTGGGAGAAGCTCTCAGTCAGCCGCTTCAAGACAGAGGATTGATCCCGGACCGATTCTCGCGACTCCACCTCAAGAGGAGGGTCACATGGGGACCGCGGGTTGCGATTGCAGTACATCCATGATGCCGCACGGGAGCACGGCACACGACTCGGTCCGTCCACGAGGTAAGCGATCAGCAGTGTCGCTTCGGGTGCTTCGCGGACCTTTGCCTGGAACAGAGCTGTCAATTTGTTCTCAGATAGCAGATAACATTCACGAGCTGACGGTAGCTACAGATCTCCAGCCTCGGAAAAATCATTAGCTTCGCCTGACTATCTGTATCAAAATGTTCAGAACTCGAGAGCTTCACAGCTCACCGTCACTCTCATGATGTCCGCAGACTGCGCTCCGGTGTTTCGAAAGCGACCACGAAGCACTGAAGAGTCCGACTTCGCTGTGATGCTCTTGTGCCGCTCCGAGCCCCTCTCTCCACTGGCTCATGGCCGACGGTGATCGGAGTATAGACTCATTCGGAAAAGGTGCTTGGACGGCCTCCAAGTGGAAAACAATATCCACCCACCACGCAATCAAGATCGTCGGCTCTAAGCATCGGGACATCCGATGGCTTCATTGGGAGGCGATCGTGATTGATTTCATCAAGGATTGCTCCTTCCCCTACGCTCTTCGATTGACATCCGTAACCCTCGCAGAAGTCCGTGAAAGCATCAATCGCGTCCAGAGGACAATCCATTGAACTCCGTTCTCCTCTCATGCTCTTGGGCGGATCGACCGATCACTGGACACTTCCAAGGAAGGAACGTTGCTCCTCGACGAAGCGCTAGAAGACCATGTAATCATCAGAATGAGATGCGAAGTCGCGAGTGTGAATCAGCGGAGCTCGAATATCTCTCATAAGTCTGATCGAGTGATCGCCATACTTCGGATTCGGAAGGAGAAATTGCCCGAAGGAGCCGCTTTTCGAAGCTTGAACGACCCTTGTAGACCAAGCGGAAGCAAACGATTAAGGGAGAAGTTATTATAACATGACTCGTCCACGGTGTTGGTAGGGAATCGAATCCATGACATGGAAGCGCGAGCCGTTGGAGTCGGACACGAATGCGACCGTACAAAACACATGTTATACCGAAGGGGTTGAGCGAGTACACAAACAGTATTTCATCTTGGCTTGGGTTAAGCGGACTTCTCGTGGACCAGACCGTCAGATAGTGGAAACGCATCTGGATGTGTCAGAAGAACACACGCGGAACATCTGTGTTCACAACGAGAAAAAGAGAAATCAAACGTCGATCGGAAACAAACGCCGCTCCTTTAATAAATTCGGATTATGTTTCACTGGTGACTTAACAACTTCGGTAAGGCTGCACGGAGCCATGAAGAGAACGTGGAACACATCTCGGTCACCTCGACGAATTCCGAACCAATAGATTCCGTTGGATATAGGGCGAATGATCCACCTCTTGTTCTACAGGAACACCGGGAGGACACGAGAGCATCGACATTTATGTGGGTTCGAAGTTTTGGGATTGTGTTCCTCCCAATGAGACAGATCCAGGTAGCGAATCCACCCAGCCGACTCAGGGCCCGGACTGTATATTCCACTGATCGTGAAGTTCGAACCATCGTGAATGCATTCTCCCGCTTTGGAGGCGTCACTCCCACTCGGAATATTCTACCACGGCGGAGTCACTTCGCTTCTCGAAGAGGGAAATGGATTTCGAGACTGAGCACTCGACCGTCGTGTCGCTTCTGTGATTCCTGAACTCTGTTCTACGATCAACTTTTTCTCGATGCGAAATCGTCTTCGACTCGGTTTTTGTGCCACCTGAATGGATTTCTGGACCCTCTTCCATCTTGTTAGTTCCACGGGAAGAAAGCTCATGCCATTCTATTCTCGTGGATTCCCGATGGGAATCCTCTCCCAGACTGAAATACCCTGGTGCGGTGGAGGCGCGAATCACTTCTTCCGCAAGGAACAAAAAGTATAATATTAGGAATCATGCTCATCCACAGAAGAAGATAACGAGGCTGTCCCTGAGATACGTCTCGCTTGAGATCGGCATGCACAAATGTCGACATATGTTTTTAGGAGAAAGCGCCGGGCCTCGGTCCGAGATAGTGTTTGCACTCGAGTGAGAGAAAGTGAAGCCTCTGGCAACAGTTTATCTTTGATGTCGTCACATTGGTCATGGGGCTTAAATATCCGAGCTGGGTTCTTCATTCAAAATATCGGTCGGAAATAAGATGAATTCGAGATGGAGGGCGAAGGGATTCTCCGCCTTCGATGTCAAGAACAAATCCCGCGCGCACTACATAACATGCGGGTTGCCGTCGAGAAACCGAGACGGCTCCTCTCATGACTTATCCAGAGGCGTCGCGTCCTTTTATAACGTGCACGCTCCTACCGAACTCCAATTTGTTGGTGTGCCCGTCGCTCACAACAAGCCCTTTTAGATATTATTGGGATTTATTCACAGGCAGGACTGTGTCATCCGATTGAATTCTTCATTTATATAAAAGAAGACCTATCAGAACTGATGACCTTCCGAAGAAATTCTCGATATCCGATGCCCACCTATCAGGGCATGTTGGCTCATTTCGACTTCTAGTGGGATCAAACAGCCGTCAAAACGAGCCTAATCATGAATACGGGCGTTTCCTCCAATCAGAGGACTCACGGTGGATGTTTCATGGGTATTTTCTCCACAGCTCTATGAGTCAACCATCAGCAGCAATGAATCAGTCATTGCTCTCTCTCTTCGGCTTCCACGGAAATAACGTGATGAGGTGCGATAATATTGGCTTCGCAGGTCCTTCGCTCACCGCCTACGGGCTTGATTGGTCTCAAAGAGGGAGAATCGCAGAAATCCGGAAACAAGGATTTTCAGTCACTCATCAAACGGAAATTCTGTAACAAACACCACGGCTCTGCCCGGGTGCTCTCCAAAGAGCCCCCTCAGAGATACGATAGGGAATTCATAGGATCAGCTCTACTGATTTTTGTACTCTACCCACTCTCGCTTTTGTGATTCATCGATTCGAATGACACGGAGAGCTCCGGAAGCCGAGATGCGGGCCGTGGGTTCCCTTCCCTCGCGAAAGTCGAAAGTCCCGCTCTCATTCCAACCGATTCCGATAATTTATGCCTTATCAATCTCATCATCCATGCAAAAGAACTCAACCTTTTCGAGCGGGCTATGTATCCTGATGAGGAGAACATTCCGACTGACGGGTGATGGATTTCTCTGAAGGGTCAGATGGACATTCCGAACGACATAATTCATGCCCTCAGTCCGAAGAATCAATGCGATAGGGCCGGACCATCTCCCGATTCTCAAATGCAGGCTTTCGTCATGCCAAGTGGTTTTGACCCGTCGTTTCTTGGCTCCGCTCGAGCCTCGGGTGTGATTCCATCCCCTGATTTCATCGTCGACGAGTCTCCGAGGCCGAGCTCTGCAATCAGTCGTCATCGATCGAAACCAGAAGAATCGAGCCCAGCTTCCCGGATGTTCCGAGAAGCTCTCGATTACGACGGAAGGGAAATTGGGACAAGCACTCCGTCATCGACCTTGAGCCAAGCTCTAACACGATTCCAGAGGTGACAGAAAGAGGAGGGCGCAAGGGAACGAGTTGCGAAACAATGCGCGGACTTTACAGGAATCGACGTTGAGTGATCCCGTAAATATGCCCCAACCCGACTCTGGCTTTTGAGCGAATACATATTTGCGATTCGTCACGAGGAGCAATATAATGGCTGAGACCCAAGCCGAAAATCGTGTTCGAGCCGTGTCCGGAATGGAGTCAAGTGCGGTAGTCTGTTCGGTGCTTTTCGCCCTCGTTGCGCTCGTTCCGGGCCCGACTGAGGGACTTGGTTGTGAGTACGACTCCCGTGATTGCATTTCGCCGTGAGCCGATTCGAGGACCGAAATTTTTGAGCCTCGTCGCCGTCTGCGATCTCGGCTGACCTCCATTGATGTGTTATCCTTCCGCCCCTCTCGACATCTGCCGGGAGGCAGATCCCCGCGTGCACTGCCTCGGAATCACTGGAAAAATCTTGGATTTCTCTCCGAATTGCTTCCGTGGCTCTCGAAAGACAGGCACTCGAGAGGTTCTGAGAGTCTACGGAAGAGAAGGGAAGACGCGAGAGCATTGTTGACGCACCGGAAAGAACTTTTGAAAACTATTCCAATTGTTTAAGACTTGCTCGGTCGGAGTTATATGGAGCCTTGTGAACGCGGTGCCGGCGCTTGCATGACGTCGCTCGAGTGCGGACTGCAGAGAGGTCAATCGCTAGGATCCTGTTCGATCGGAGTCTGCTGCCGAGGTGAGCTCGCTGAGCATCCAATCGTCGATATCTTACATCATCATAAGAATGTGTCGGATGAGAAAACTTTGAACGACGACCTTCGAAGAATATTTCCCCTTCTCTCGCATATCTTCCGAAGTCCATCCCAGCAACTGACGCTCAATGCGGGACTTCCCCGAATTATTCTAGTTGAGAAAACCTGCAACGAAGTCATCAACTTCAACAACACATTTTTCGTGCATCCCGCCGATGTGCGGCCCAGCTCATCATGCAGCGTCGCAGTCGAGAAGAAATGGGTTCCGGGTGGAATCTGTCAGCTAAAGCTGGATTTCCTCGAGTTCGAGACGGTTGGACCCAGCTTCCAATCGGGGATGTGTCTACACGACACGTTTTCAGTAGCAGGCGCGGACAAAGTCCCTCCAATCATCTGCGGCCTGAACGACAGGCAACACAGTGGGTTGGATTTTTTATTGTATATCAAGTCCTGTTTCTCTCATGTTCCTCAGCCTCTGGTCCGCTATGCGTGAGTCCAGGGGAACTCTCTCGTTTGAAGTTGGCTCCGAGCTTCTATGCAAATCACCGTTCGGTTCCAGTGTACGTTGATGTACGCAACGCACGTAATATCCATCTGATGATGAATCTCGGCCTCAACGTGACAAATCGACGCTGGAAGATCAAAGTTAGCCAGATACCGTGCTATTCGCCTCGACTCGCGCCACCTGACTGTCTCCAATACTACGAAGAGCCCACGGGCTACATCAAAAGTTTCAACTATGGCAACATCCACAATGACACCTCTTATCAGCTGAACTTGAGGTTTGTTCCTGAGGCTACCGATGGAGCTCATGGCATAAGCATCAACAGTTACAAGTTTCATACTGAATCCAACCTTTGTCATTAAGGTACCGCATGTGCTTCCGGGAAACTTGCACTGTTCAACTGAATCAGCTGGGATCCTTTGGTCTTGGGGCGCAAAGCGCGGGCGGTGACTCTGCCAACCAGATCACGGATGTAGCTGTTGACACTGACTGTGTGAACCACAAATCAAATTCGGCTGTTTCGTCGGCCTACATCGCAATCGATGACACCAGGTTCTGCGGGAGCCGATTTCTACGGAGCTACGAAACCAGTGAGTTGACGCCATTGGCCTCAAGACTCTCGCAATTTTTTAGGATACTCGCCGTTCTTATTCATTAACCGTATAGCCCTTCAAACAGAATAGTTTTCCGGTATCCTACCCCGGTCAGGAAGATAAGCGGCTAGATAGCAGGGTAATCTGAGCGGTTCGGGCATTCCGCGAGGATTCGTCGCAACCGTCCTGCCAATTGCCAAGTCCGGAGTTCGCATGCTCGGAGTCGATAGGCGCTCCTTTCAGGCCCCGATCGACCGAAACTCAGAACCCGCGTCCTAACCCACAGCCCTACAGGGCCTCTTGCAGCAGATGAGGCGGCGTAGACAGAGAACATTCTGAAGAACTAGAATTCAAACTTTTATTTCCAGCCAATCCCGTGTCTTCGATGACTTTCCAATCGCCACTGCGAGAGGTCGGTCGAGATGATCCGAACAGAAAGTTCGACGGCTTCATGGTCCAGTACCGCCAAAATTGTGGCCTCAGAGGCAAGTAAGTAACCTGAACGACCCCTCAACTCGTCGAGGGAAAATCATACTCGACCGAGGAGTCATCGCAAAACTTGAGCGTGCTCGAATTATGAGAGACTATCCGATTGCAGCAATAATCGGTGATCACAGCGAAGATTCTGAGGGTGCGGTGATTCCGGGTCCGACAACAAGTCTGCCTCCGATAGTCATACCCATACCAATCCCGCAGCTCTAGACACGAATTCCTATAAGTCAAAGTGTATAAATAAAAATACATGTTGAAGACTACCCCGTTCAGAATAAAAAGTATCCTCTGATATGTGCGAAGCATGCATCTGAAAGCAATATTGATCCATGTTGTTCCATGACAGGATTTTGGGAGACAGCATCCAATCTCTTGCCGTGATACAGGACTGGATTGCGAGATGAGAAGAAAGGGAAGGTTCTCTTGCCTATTGCTATCTGGGGTCTCGGACTACGGATAGCTGGACTGAAATCGGAGCAACACGAGGGAGTCTCATCTGTGTCCGGAGGGAGGACATTCCTGAAATGAGCTATTCCTATCTAAGTTGTTCGGATGAGTCGGGTAGAACTCGTTCCTCAAAAGTCACTGATCATTCGAGCCAAAAAGGATTGTGCAGACTCGCATCCGACGGAGCCGCGACTTCATTTGTCGATCGGACCGCTCACGACATAATCTGTTAAAAGTTCTCCTCCTCGAAAGCTTGTTCATCTCCTATCGCACCCAGGTTTCTCGCTGTGGAGATAGCACGTCAGATAGCACACAGACACGCTCGCCTAATGAACGGCTAATGCATGATTTAAGCGGCTTTGTAATCCAAACAGAAACAATATTTTTGTGGCCATTTGTGATCATCACCATCCGGCTGCTTGTTGAATGCCGTCGTCATCCGCTTTCCTCCATCCGTCCGGTCGGGAGAGCAGCCAATGGCAGTGGCGGCAGTGTTCTAAGATGTTACCTCCCTTTCATAATACCCTCCAGATATCATCTGCCGCCGCCTTCAGTTCGCTGAAGGCTTATCGAAATTTGTATATTCTTGTCTTGCTCAAATAATTCCCCGTGATCAGGTTCTGTGTGTGGCGGACGGCATGGAGGGTAGGAGAGAGGCGCACGTAGAAAAAATCAGTTTGTATAAATGTATGCAAATCTCGCTTTTCACCGACGTCAATTACATCATGCGCGCGGCCCTCCGCCTGCCTATCCGTCCGCGTTCCGATCGTTCCTCCCAACCGTTGTTGTCTCGCCCCGAGATCTGTTTCGGTGAAATGAATAACATTGCTCCCTGTGGGAGAATCCCGTGAAATGAAAAATCTCGGAGAGGTTCAAGAGGATTTAGTCGGATGATTCACCGCCTGCTTGCACCAAACTCGATTGTCTTCACCGAGTTCCTTACGGCCCTGTCATTCCCCGACCGCAGTTGCTGGGGTCGTCCATTAATGACGGCAGCGGCGGCGGCGTATCATGATCAGCGCTGTACAGAATCCGAGTTATCGTCGCTTGACCTCGCCGCTGAAGACTCATCTGCCGCTTCGGGTGATATTCGCATCGCGCGTGCAAAGTATCAACAGAAAGGCTCGAAATTGCTCGTATCATCAATTCTATATAAACGAGATATTCGCTGTGCATCAATCTTTATTGTAAACACTTTGTCCACATAGTTCAGAGAATAGCGTCTAATGGAACGGGCTGCATCGTCGAGCCAATCCAAAAGCCACGATCTCAATTTGCCTTCTCGAGGACACGAATGCGACAGAAGCTCGATTCGAGGAGCCTCCAAACGCCGCAATCACAAACATATGTTGAAATTCGAACGCATCGCTGATTTCCGAAAGCGGATCCGCTCAGACGAGGAGCCTGCGCGTCCATTGCACTCGAGTCTTATTTTTTGCGACTCGCCGTTTAGAGCTCATTGTATCACACACTGATCCGCCAGAACGAATCAAGCACATCCTAAACAGTCGCAGAGCATATGTATCAGCCAGCACCGTGTGACATTCGATTCAAATCTCCACAAAGCGAACCGAAGCGATTCGACAGGGGCTTGAGAGTATCCACAATCATTAGGATTCAGTTGCGGTCATCATTCTTCACATCTCTCGGTGATCTCTCGAATCGGAGAATTCTGCAAGACATTTATGACTCCGACTTGAATCAATTCCCGTCGGACTGTTGTTTCGTTGCACTCCTCGTGGGGGTCATTCGATACAGTTCTGAACATCCCGCTTCTTATTTTTTTTATGCATCTACAGATTTTTCATCGTCTTCACGCTCCTCTACGCTGGCTTCTGATTTCATTTCAGCAGGGCGCGGGCTCATCGGCTCACTGGATTGTACTGTCGGAAGAAAGGAAGTTGCTTGGCAGTGATGCTGTCGCATCTTTGATGTGAATCAAATTAAAATTCAAGATTCATTTCAGGGCGCAACATTTGGCTGACGTTCAGCTGCTGTCGGTCGGCTTCGGTGGCGGCGGGCATCGGACGAAGAATGAGATGTTTCCATCAAGACTTAATTCAGCCGCAGCGACGAGCCATGAATGCAAATACTAACCCGCGCCGCTACTTTTGAAAATTCTCAAATGAATGCAATGTCTTCATCCACAAGCGCGCCGCGACGTCGCCAGACGACGTGGGCTTTTGGTCCCGTCCTCTGTGTGATCGACCCGCGTCGTGTCCGTCTTTGTCTTTTGTCATCATCTGGAGGAAGTTTCCTCCTCCGTCGACTGAATAGGGATGTCCCTCTCGGATTATCTCTTTCCGAGTGATCCGAACTCGATGGTGATCTGTGAGAGGTTTGGCCGGTTCGACTTTGCGGTTACTTCATTCATCAACCAAGGCGGCGGCTGTGCTGATTATGTTTCGGTTCATCTCAAAGCGGGTCGGCTCGGGGCTCTCGACTAGGCTCTCATAATTGGCTGGATGCCACCGTGGCCGACGGCGAGCCGCTATATATGGCAGATGTTTCCTAAATCAGTGTGAATGAGAATTCTGTTGACACTGTCGTCAAATTTCTCCGTAGTGTCTGGGTAAGTCGCCAGGTCGCGCTACGGGGGCTCATCGCCGGTGGCGGTCTTCACGAAGCGCCCCCTCGCGGACGAAACGTCCAGTCGAGACCCGAACGCATGCTTTAGTTGTTATCCTACCTCTGAACGGGAGGCCCGTATTGACTTCAGTGCTGAGTTTTTCTCTTCCAAGTGAAATTCTAGGATTTGGCGGCGCTATTCGGGCGTGCCGAGACGTCGCGAGTGATTCGCCACCTTCGTCGATAGTGATTGTGAGTGGCAAGGATTTTTGCATAGCAAAATCAATCCACGTCGGTTCTGAAACAGTTCGCGGATACTTGTTGGTGCAGTTCCACTTTGGATAAGCTGATCTGATATATCGGCATTCTACAGTAAAATCGAGTGATTCGCTGAATATAAACTCCTTGATACGTCTCACTGGACTTACCCTTCTGCTAATCTGCTCAAAGGATAGACGACTCAAGATGACAAGGTACGTAGACCGGGGTGAATCCGCGGCGCGGACAGTGACAGAGGAGAGAAGTTTTCGAACGAGTGAGCTGGGTTCCGCATAGCAGCGCGGATGGCACAGGCGCGAACTTGTTGCCTATCTGAATTGTAGGGTTACAATCATGACTGCTGTTTGTTGTCGTTCGGTCGTCAGCGGATGTTGCCTTGTCAATGGTATCAATTTCTGTCAGCTTCCTCCGTCGACTTTTTCTGTCGCTCTGACAGCTTTCCTCTGGGACAACTTCCTGAGATAGAGAGTAGTGTTTGAGTCGTTGCTCAATCCGCTCTGCGAAGAGGATTTCTCACCGCCTCACCGTCTGAAACGTTGCGGAAATGTGAATCTCCCAAAAGAAGTGTCAGCGTGTCACACTTCGATCTCGAGAGGCATCGGAGCTTCCGAAAATGTTTTTTGGCGGAAACACATTGCTCGAGCAGCGCGTCCCTTCGGGGATCGGGCAAGTATACTAACGGAATTTCCGGAGAGAGATACGATACGCTCGGATGCAAACAATCGAATGGAGGAGTTCGCCATAGGGTGCATGGAAAACCTCATCTGCGGGAACGGCAGAAGTCGGAATCCAAGGGGGATCGGGCGAGGATTGAAGAGTTAGGGCTTTGTGTTCGGACGCTTTCGAGGGAATATTGGATGCAAACTTGTAGCCGACGGAAAAAGCAATCGATGGATGTGTTTGTTTTCCCGCCGCTCGAACGGACGCAGTCTGAGCGCGGTATCGTCCCTGAAAATAAAGCAAGTGGAAGTTCTTGGGCCAACACGCGCTAGAAGAATTGTTATGATCGTTTCGAATCACGTGCTATTCAGAATGTTTATTCGACTGCGTCGCCCTCCGCCGGAGCGACGGAACCGCAAAGTTTCCTATTTATATTAGAGAAATCGGAAACAAGTGGTTACGGAACCGACCCATCTGGAACGGCGCGTTCGGAGCGTAGTATCAGATTGCCACTCAATCGGTGGAATCTCTGGAACCAACGAGTTGAAGAAACCTCGTGGGACGGAAAAAAAGGTCTTTTCGTCATTTCGTATCAGGAGCGGGTTCAGGATGCTCGCAAGAGAAGCCATCTGAGGGAAACGTCAATTGTTCGTGAGGCAAAAGTGTTTCACCGACTGTCGAATGGGAGAGCTCATTTTGTGAAGTTTGCTGATCGTCGTGAGCGCCGCCAACAACGACAATTGATGATCGATTTTCAGAAGATCCCCGCATTGGCCGACTATTGATGGAAGTGGCCGCGCTGCCGCGCAAGATGTATCCGCACTCCTCCTTACTTTTTGCCTCCACCTCTTGGCCTCTGTTTTTGTGTTCCCTGTTTTTATAATGAACGTGAGCTGTATGTGCTCACTGTTGCGAAGGGAATCCGTATATTCCATTCGGGCATTCTGGGGACGCCAGAGAACATAATGCGACTAGAATCGCTCCACGTATTTGAACTGCTTTCAAGGGGTCTTTCGCGTGCGCGGGGATTCCCCGGCACAATAATCTGATGGGATGCCTCAGTCGATTCTGAAAAAGGTCCGCAAGACTACTTGTCGTATCGTCGTATGTTACCGACTGGATGGATCCCATCAAAGTCAAGATCTGTCCTTGTCATCAAACTTCTAACTGCTTGAAGCGACCTGACGGACTGATCGACCTTGTGGCCCTAGCTTCTGTCGTTTGCCGTGGCAAGAGACTCCGTGTATTCATGGTTCGGAACGCAGAAAATCGTGAGCGTTTTCCCTCGAGATGAAAAGAGCCGCCGTCCGAAATACTTTCGCGGATTTCGAACTTGAT